GATATTACGTGGTTGCTGCTGCATACTAACAGCCTCCAGATGCAGCATCTAAAGCAGCAGATACAGCAGCTGACCTACGAGTTGGAACAGCAGCACAAACCACCCCGCTAAACATGGACACCACTACCGGCAACAGTGAATTGATGTCGCATTGTTCGGAGCAACAGGCCAAATTTTGGGACAATAAGGAGGCAAACGTACTGGAGCAGGTCGTGAAGTCCCACGACGCACTGCTGAGGCTGCAGAAGGAGAGTTTTGTTGCTGCTTCTTTGGGCTCACCCTATGGGCCAGCAGTAGATCGTCTCTGGAACAGAACACGAACGCTACCGCAGCCGCTGCTGAACATGGAGCCAAACAAGGTGAACCTTTTGAACTTTAGCGGCGGTAGTAGCAACTATTTCTCACTGTCCTGAAACTGCTGTTTCGCTGTTAGCTGGTGCTGCAAAATACTTGCTGCTGCACCGGCTGCTGGCGTTGCTGTTGTAGTGTTCTTGCTGCTGGTGCTATCACTGGCAGTGTTTCCTGCGCGCTGAAAAGGTGCGTTAGACAATACGTTTGAGGAATGCCTTTTAACTTTGACATTGAAGTTGCTTTCCTCCTTGTTTCCGTTGTTTGTACAGGCACTGCCGAAGGTGGAGTCTAAATGCCGAACGAGGTGTGACAAGCAGTTAGAGATGGCGCGGGATGCGGGGGGGCGGAAATCTTGGAACCTTGCGTTGCGGGTGCCTGGTAACTCCTGTGTANTGTACAGCGAGATCAACCAGAGGCAGGAGGAGCAGTTGTTGCAGAAGCGCATCGGCAAGCTCAATTTTGCGCCAAAAGCTCCCAACATTCGCAGGGTAGTGCAGAGAAACCAGAAGCTGCTGATGCAACGGCACAGAAATCTACTGCGGCTTCTGCGCGTAGAGATTTCGAAGACTGGCCAGCTGTCTTACTGAATAATTGGGGCGTGAGCAACCAACCGCTATTTTAGGTTGCATGAAGAGCATCGGGAACTACTCACGAAATACTCTGGGGAGAATCCAAGAGACTCTTTGGTGGCGGCGCCTTATCTTCGAGCGGCCTTGGGTTCCATTTTCGAACGTTTCCGCTCTGCTGTTCCATGTCGAGCTCAGCTGGTGGTTCCGTTGCAGCCAACTAGGCTAACCAGCTAGTGCTGGCTAGCCTAGCACCCTTGACGAGAACCACCTACTCTTGCACTTCCCCTTGTACACATAATATGTTTAATGATCGTATACATATGGCGATCTCTACGGGAAGCTGGGGAATTCGTCTGCTTGGAAATGCATGTACGTCTACCACCCTGGTAACTGGATAGCCTTCTACGAATCTGCGCTAGCTGCTTCCTTGCTGCTTGTCTCCTGATGGGGTGAGGGAACTGTAAAGGCTTTTCTGACCACTGACTGACTGCGACCTCGTATACTGCGTTCCGCCATTGATTCTGTAAACTTTTAGGAGACAAAAAATAGTAGAAACTTAGCGCGAGAGCGTACATTGACACAAAGACACAGTCAGAGAGCGTGAGACACGAACTGCCAGGACACAAAGCGGCAAAGGAATACGTACAGAGACGAGCCGCCACCAGCTATGTACCATCATAAGGAGACAGAGATGGAAAAAAAAAAACTTCAAGGGAGAATGAATATATATTTAGCGGGCTGAGAGGCAAAGGCAGACGCAAGGGGC